CGATTTTACTCATTTGCGTCCTACGTTTGAAAAATTCGTAACTTCTGACCTGCAGCCGATACAAACTTGAGACTCTCGCAACCCATCTAGGACTCCTGAACCTCAAAAACCTTGAACATTTTGTATAAATCGCATTAAATTCAGATTTTTGCCCAATCGATAAATAGCGGCCTAAAAATGTGCGGTTTTTCTCAGGTGCGTTCTGGGCTCGAATCTGATGTTTCAAGGGTTTTCAGACGTTCACAGCAACTAAAGTTTTGCGTTTGCCCACACGGTTTTATTCGTTTCATGACTATCCATAAAACCTGGTCTGATTTTCGTGGATTTTCAGTGAAACGCCTGATTCCTTAAATACGATCTCTCGGTGCAAATATTTTCCACTTAAAAGACACCGCGACAGCCTCAAAACGGGCACTAGTCCACGATGGAACTTTATTTAGCAAAATAAATAAACTTGCCCAGTTGTCAAGTAATTCTGTATTTTGCTGGTTTGGTGTGATTTTAAAATGTCACCATTAATCACCATCAAGCGAGTGCAGACGTTCGAAAAGCTTTGAAACTTAATAACGCGAAAAGCGATTTTCTGGCCGGAGCCAGATTTATATTTCTAATGATAGCGGCGGAACTTTCCAAAACGTCGCCTTATTTATGTCTTAACTCGCACTTCAATTTTTCCATGGAAAGCTTCCAGTTGATCGTCTCAAAGGCATAAATAATTCAATACACTAAAACTGTCTGTCTTATTTCACACGCTGGTTGGACTTTGTTCATGCCAATTAAGTCCGATGTTAATTAGGAAATTAATTCAAGCCGCAACTTCACATTTTAATAAGCCATGAAGCCTTCAGGTCATTTACCAAAAATTTCATGGGAATAAATCCGCCGAACGTCCAGTGTTTAAGGTTCTTCTATACTGATTTGATGATTTTTTCAACCAGCCAATAATTCACCGGTTCTCGCAAAGTGAATGACATCGTAATAGGCAGGCAAAAACACTTCATCTTGGCCAACTAATGGTCAATTAAATTTTGCTTGAAGCTCCAGAAATTCCAAGTGTTAAATCGTGTGAATCACTGATTAAAATTCAATTGGCAGCGGTACTTGAAAAAATCCAACGCACAATTGTCCGATGGCTATTGTTAAGGAAACAATCAGCTGTAGCATTAGAGGAAGGAAGATACGAATAATAATAGGCCATAAACGAGTGGAACAAGCACAGCATACATCTGACGATGGTAGCCATGTGTGCCGGCAAAACGTCGGCCAGACGCCTATTTT